TTGCCCTGACTCTTCCTTCTCTGAGTTCTTATCTATACCTTGTGATTTCTTTGTGTACTCCTTGTTCTCTAATTGTGTCATCGGAATGTTCATCTATTCTTACCTAAAAGGCTGTTGGCTCTTGCAGGCAGACACTGTCAAGAATAAAGGGAATGACAACAGCTCCAATATTGACTGTGCACTTATTATATACCAGGCCCAGAGCTAAGTGATTTACATAATTATCTTGTTTCGTGATCACAATAAATCCATAGTATTCCATTTGACAGATGAAAAACTGAGGCTCCGAGAAGTGCACTTGTACAGGTCTACCCAGCTAGAAAGTGATCGAGCAGGAATTTTAACCATTTCTGTCTGATTGCAAAGACCATGCTTTTTAACACTGCACATGTCTAATAAAGGACTCCTTGTTATTTTTTGTTGCTTGATTCCAATTCCCTTGAATGCTCTTCATGGTGGAATCCATGGGGTCCTCAATCTTGGTGAGTAGGAAAATCTCCTGCCAATAAAAGAGCAGGTATTACCCACTCTGTCCAACATGTTCAGCTTGGCTTCCTCAGATGGGTGGCTGGAATGATTACACTGAAAGCTCTGTGTGTTCCTCTCCACCCCTTTTCTTACACCTACACACCCTTCATTGCTCCACAACTTCTGTTACCTGTTGCCCTGGGAACACCTGAGAAGCCAGAGGATTTTCATTATAGAATCAGGGGTTCCTGGGACTGAAGGTCTGCTATCACTTGATGGAGTTGGTAGGAATATGAAGCCACAGATCAGGAAAAGATGCTGAGGAGAGAATCTGGGCCAAAGACAGAACTCCCATGGCTCACATATACCCCATCTGGAGCCGTTTGCAGCCTCCTTTCCCTTCCCTCAACCAGAATCCTTGTTCTGGGACTCCTAAACCTTTGAGCGAAGCCCCACCCCTATCCCAGTCTCCTAAAGTTTAGGGGCTGCATTCAAGCCAGAGATTTCCAAACAGAGGTGTGTTGGATGGACTTCTTCTAAGGACAACTTGCTCTGAAAAGTGGGGAAAGGTGGCAGCCACTGCTGCTGTCACTGAAGTAATCCGTGTAGTTTCCTGGGAGACCCCTCTGCCCTTTCCCCTCCCTCCAGCCCAGTGAGCAGGGACCAAGCTTGCTTATTATCACCTGACGCTGTGCAGCCACCGATCCCATTGGTGGAGCCAGATTGGGTCTGTCTCTCCCGTTCTTTCTCGCCTTGTGTGCCTCTCTTTCCTCCACGCTGCTTTGATTTCTCTCTTGTGTCTCTCCTTGTGCTTAGCTGGGGAACATCGTCTCACTGGGGGCAGCAGCTGCATGCTGCAGAGCCAGATAGGAGCTGCCTGCAGGGCATGGAAGAAGCCTCCGGGGCAGCCTGGAGAGAAGCGAGCCAGCACTGCTGCTTGTAACTGGGGCGACCGACAGCTGTTCCCGTGTCTAGGGAGCTCATCCACAGAGGTTTTTTACCCATCCTTCTCTTCCCTTCCAGGTCTTCCTCTGCAGAGCCCAGTGGAGGCAGGTGAGTGCCCTTCTTTCTCACAGCATCCCATAAATATATTCATGTCTATCGGGAGAGGGACTCCAGTGGTCAGGGTCTGGGAGCTGGGGCACCGGGGTGCTGCCGGTGCCTAGAGTGCCCTTCTGGGATGCCAGGCCCGATGACCTTGTCCCCTTCCCCCCAGGTCCTTGGCAGAGGGGTTACCAGCTAAATCCAGACTCTGGGGCACCAGTTAGTCACCCCGTGACTATTCTGCTGCAGTCAGCACTGCCCACAGGGACAGCAGGTTAGGGGAAAGCTTTCCCTCTGGCCCCCCAGGTGCCTTTTCTGAATGGCCACTGGTAAAGGGTATCAGTGTGTACAACAAATGGATGCGTTTTTGAGGAGTCTGAGGTTTGCATGCGTAGATAAGTCTGCGTGCAGTTTGCTTATGTGTGTGTTTTGACCAGTGTGTGGCATGTCTATGAACATATGTATGTTCCTTGTACATGTGAAGAACATGGGTGTGTGGAAGGAGTTATCTGAGTAACCTGTAGGTATATGTGTTGGGGGGGGGGCACTGTGAGACAATATATATTTATGGGATGGCCATATCACTTGTCATGTGTGTGGGAGTCCATGTACCAGAAGGCTTCTATGTGGAGAGGCGCAAACTCCAGAGCAGAAGGGTCTGGGTAGGTGGAGAGTGTGGGCAGGAGCCATTATCTGTGGGCAGATCTGTGTAGGTGCGCAAACCTTTTGGCATGTGATGGACTCGGGTTGACAGACTGTGGCTTAGAGGCAAATATGTTTTCGAAATCTGTATCTTTGAGTCTGGGGAAGACTTGAGAGAGAATACAAGAACAAGGGTAGGGGCTGTCATGTGTCTGAATGGACAGGCTTGTTGGTTAGGTGCCTTCTTGTGGAGGTGGCATGTAAGCATGTTGCTGCCTGCAGTTTCCTTTTAGCCAAATATGGCTAGTGCAAAAGTATGCATTCAAGTGTATGTGTGTGCTTGTGGACAGGAACACATGTGGGTCTGTATGGGGATGGCAGCCTGTGGGAGGAAAGTGGTAGGGGACTGTGAGAATGGGGAAGGTGGAGAAAGCTACCTGAGTGCGTAGATCAGTGTGTGGGAGTGAAGATATATGAGGATGGATGCAGCCTGTGTGGTAGCACTTGTGGATGGTCAAACTTGTTTGCATGTGTGTATGTGTGGAGGACATGTGTACAAAGCTGCCTGTCAGTGAGTGTGTAAATGCTTGTCTCTGGGTGGATTTCCAGGAGAGTATGGGTATTTGTAGGGCATTGCCTCAACCTGTCCCTCACACCCTGCCATTCCCCAATCATCTGGGTGTAGAAAGCCTGGGATTCACGCCCATCCTTGGTCCACCGAAACCCTGCCTTAACTGTTCTCCTGGTTTCACTCCCTGTCAGTCTCTCTTCTGAAATACCAGACCTGATGACCATGACCCTTTCCCCCTAGCTAGGGTGGAGAGCACTCTCAGCTCTCCTCGAACTGGGAGAGGAAGGGATGTGCAGCCACCCAGGTCCTGGAGACCTCAACTATCAAATGCAGCTGGCTGTCTTTGGGAGGGCTCTGAGGAAAGTAAGTACTTAGCTAGGTATAGGTGCCCACTCATAGGGAAGGTATACCCTGCATCTTATGTGGGTGAGTGGGAGCTGCTCAGGCACTATCTGGGGTGGGAGTGTGTCTGTGTTCATGTATGGGGCTGCGTGTGTATATGTACTTCTCACTGGAAGTCCAGGGATTACCACTCCCTACTGCTCCTCACTCGTCCCCGAGGATTACAAACTGGTTTATTCCTGTGAAGTTGTTCCCAGACACTCGATCCGGTTTTATTCTGTTTTATTTTGGGCTCAACCTGGGTAGTAGGTAAATACTTATTTACCTTCGAATTTGTTGTATACAACGTCATTGGCATTTGGCTGAACTTTGCAACAGGCACAAGCTTTAGGGTAGAAAGCTAATATGAAACAAGAACTCAGGTGATCCCCTGCAGCAGGTAAGAGCCATCACCCACATTCCTCAATGTCTGCCTGCCACCCAGGCAACCTACAGATTAATTTAGAGGTGCCAGGCTCTGGAGAAGACTTAACTGACAGAGAAGTGTGGGCTGGCACTTCTGGAAGCTATAAATAAATAGCTTTCACAAGCACAAGGCACCCTCACCCCTAGTTCCTGACCAAGGAGAGGAGAGAAAGAGGCAAGAGAAGAGAGGAGGTGACACTCTAGAAAACGGAGGTGTGGCAAGAGCTGGACTTGAGGAAGGAACTGGTGAAATCATGTAACCCACTGGTACTAAGCAAATGCCTTGAAAGAAAATCCAACCTACTCTCTTGTCCCAGAGCAGCCCTTCCACACCTCAGAGCTCAAGTGAGCCAGGCCAAAGTCAAGGCCAGCATCTTCTAGCCAAAGCACAAGTGATAGTGATGGCCCTTTTATACCTGAAAAGCAACCAGAGATAGTATGAGAACTGAAGGAGTGAGAGAGGCAAGTGAGAGAACATGTAATTGCTTGAAAGAGAAGGAGGAAGAAGAAAAAACAAATAGTGGAAATATCACACACACTGCACATATCACAAGCTTACAAACACACACTCACACACAGGGACACAGTTTTAGCTTAGTAATAAAGAACTTGGACATCAGTGTGAGTCAGACCAAGTTTAAATCATTTACTAGCTGAATTACCTTAAGCACATTCAGATTTCTCTACTTCAGCTACCTCATCAGGAAAATGGGTACAAAACTTACCTACTGTAAGGTGCCATGAAATTCTTAGCACAACTGATATTAACGCTAAAACTAACTATTTAAAAGTCAAGCAAGGGGGGATCATCTGAAAGAGAATGAGTGATTGTCATAAAATTTACCAGTGGAATAAAAGCTTGAAGCAAACTGTGACCTATGATCCCACCCTCTCTCTGCCCCCAAGCATATCCACGTGGCCTTGTGCTCTGGTAGCTATTGGAAATTTCTTTCTGGGGGTTTAGAAGAGAAGCCTGTTCCCAAGAGCACTGGCATCCTTGGCCTCTTGGCTGCCTCGATTCTTGTACCTCAGCTCCTCAGCAAGTGTTTCCTGTCTTTCCTAATGGCCTTATCCATTCTCTCCACTCTACCCCCTTTTCACCCCATCCCTTTCTCTTTTCACGCCTGCTGGCTGAGGGCCCCCCTCCCTTCTCAGCTCCATCTGCTACAAATCTGTCCTGCCCAGTGCTTGCAGCATTCCCACTGTCTCTGCCACCTGTCAGGTGCCGTCTGCTCTGCAGACCCCTCTGAGGAGAGCCAAGAGCCCCTGATGGGGACACCCCTTTTCCATTTCTGCTCCCTCCTCTCCAATCTCCCTTATGCCATCTTTTTTTTTTTTTTTTTTATCAAACTGTAGGTGCTGTGGAGGGGTTCTCAAAATTCCACCTCACAAGGGATGTTGGGAGCAGAATATACCAGCAAACTCCATGGTGGAAGGGAGGTGCTGATCCCTTCTCTCCCTCTCAGTCCCCACAGGAACCAAACCAGAGGGGAGCATGGAGCTGTTGTCAACCCCCCACAGCATTGAGATCAACAACATCACCTGTGACTCCTTCCGCATCTCCTGGGCCATGGAGAACAGTGACCTAGAGAGGGTCACCCACTACTTCATAGACCTCAACAAGAAGGAGAATAAGAACTCTAACAAGTTCAAGCACCGGGTGAGTAGAGAGGGTGCCCAGAGGGGTCTCTTCCTGACACTTGTTCTGAAGAAGGTAGGATAATGAAATGCCTGGAGGTAATATTTTGGAGCCAGCTTTGTTGTTGTTGTTGTTGGAGCCAGCTAGACCTGGTTAAAATCCAGACACTTCTTACTGCGTAGCCTTGAGCAAGCCATTTAACCTCTCTGAGCTTGAGTACTTCACTGGCACAAAGGACAAAAATGCCAACTTTCACAGGATTGTTGAGAGGATTCAATGAGTTAATGTGTGTGGTGTTTGGCACAGTGCTTAGCACACAGTGAACACGATGATCACATTATTACTGCGATTTCAGACATAGGCAGAGAATTGTGCTGGGGTGGGACTGAGGACTGCATCATACACTGGGATGGCGTCTTAAGTTCTGGGCTCAGGGAGCGGCCTTGTTGTTAACTGGGAGGGTAGCATGGGCAGTGGGGGTGGGGTGCCCTTTTGTTTTTTGTACTCAATGATCCCCTCCTCAGGCCCGCTGTGAGTCTCTGCCCCTCGTCCTCTAGCATATTGTGTTCTTGGTTTAGAGAGGAAATGTCAGAGGTTTTAACTATAGATGAGTCTTTTCCCTAGGTTAAAGCCTTTGTGGGGGCGAGTAGGAGGAAGCCTCCCATCTTCTCAAGCTAGGAGAGAGGCAGGGGAAAGAGTGAGGTGGGAAGAAGCTGGTTCCCACGACGACAACAGCAGCACTGTGGTTTACTCACCCGCTCTCTGGAACTAGCTCTCTAGATCTGGGTGTCTTTTGGCAGGCCAGTTGCCACGGTGACATGAATGTTCAACACCACCCCCTTAAGCCTCCCCCCCCCCAAGAATAAGGCATATTTTTCCTTCCTCCCTGGCTTCTCAGCATTTGCTGTTGCCGTGGAGACAGTACTGCAGTATGCAGAGCTAAGTCTCCTTCAAAAACGTAGGTCTTGATGCCCTCAACTTTGTGGCTCCCTCCCTATTGGCCTTTAAACCTCAGTTACCAAGAGAATGGGGCATCAGGGGGCATTTAAGTAGGGGAAGAGACTAGGGAGTATCTGCATCCTATTAGAAATATCCCAATGGACACTATTTACTTCTATAAGACAAAATGGTGGCCAATGCGTCATTGAGTCTCTGGGATGCTGGCCCTCTCAGGAAGAATGGGAGCCATTTGGGGAGTAAGAAGTCTAGGGAATGCCAACATTGGGTGTGACACCACCACCCTCACCCCCACCACCACCACCAGTTTGACTCTTGGCTCTGTCTGTACTCCATTTCTCAGGATGTTCCCACCAAGCTCGTGGCCAAGGCTGTGCCGTTGCCCATGACAGTGAGAGGCCACTGGTTCCTGAGCCCCCGCACAGAGTACAGTGTGGCCGTGCAGACAGCTGTGAAGCAGAGTGACGGGGAGTACCTCGTGTCTGGCTGGAGTGAGACGGTTGAGTTCTGCACTGGGGGTAAGGATCAGCTCTCATAACATTACCCAGCTGCTAGGGTCAAGAGGGGGCTCCACTATAATCCAACAGATATTTGTGAACCCCTGCTGTCTACCAGGCACTGTGCTTGGGTCATAGGTGAACTAGATGTGGATAAGACCCTCCTGTCCTCAAAAGATCTACAGTTTAGTGCAGGAGGCAGGTGTGAACACTACTCATTCTGTTGGCAATAACACTTTCATAAAGAGCTGGAGTTACTTTGCTGGCTTAGGATAGTCCTATATTGCTTGTCTTGAACTCTGACATTGTTGGGGGAAAATGGCCCTATTCAGTGGCCCTGCAAACTCTTTTAGCAGAACTTAATTTGCAAATTCCAGCATGTACAAACATTGGGCTAATATATTACTGATGACCTAAGATCTGTCCCATAATATTCCATTCTTTTGGTGACCATGGTGAGAATTGCTCCAGATCACCCTCTGTCACACGGCAGGGTCAGGGAACATTCTCAGCCCCAGGCCTCTGAGACTGTTGGCTCTATCCTCAGCCATGGCCCAGGCTCCAAGTCTTCTTGAGTGGCTATTATCTTCTGGATGCTTTTTCTTAGTTACTCTGCAAAACCCCATTCCCTGGAGGCACTCTCCGTCCTTGCAGGGAAAACCCTAGAACTCCACCTGTATAAGCCCAAACCAAACCCACTGCTATCAAGTTGACTCTGAATCAGAGTGAGCCTGTAGGACAGGGTAGAAATGTTCTTGTACCGATAGAAGGTTTCCAAGACTCTCAGTCTTTATGGGAGTACATAGCCTCATCTTTCTCCTCTGTTGTTGCTGATGTGTTTCAACCACCGACCACTCAGTTAACCGCCTGATATTTTATTTACCACACCACTGGGGTGCCTTAGAACTCCACATACAGTGGGAGTTTAATTCAAATTGGGGGAACTAGCAAGGGCTGCATCAGCAAAGAGGAAAGGGCACCTTTCTCTAATTTGTATAAAGGTGCTGTATAGGCTAGCCGCAGTCCTACCTTGAGCCCAGGAGCCCAGCCTCTGGCCCTGGTTCAAGGGTTTTGATTTAACTGTCCTGTTTCCAGGCCTCTCTGCTTCTTCTGGGATGGCTCTAGCAGAGAATCATTGCCCCAGACTCCAGTCTGCCTAAACCTTCATTTCTGTAAGACTCAGGCTTGGTTCTCTACAGCTTCTTCATGCACCTTCACTTGTAATCACAACCAGCTTTCATGTAGGCGGTGTGGGCTGCCTTTTACCTGCTGGATCTGAGGGGCCTGGTGTGGTGGTGTAGGATGAGCACTGGACTGCTAACTGCAAGGTTTGTGATTCAAAGCTACCAGTTGCTCCTTGGAAACCCTATACAGGGTCGCTATGAGTTGGAACTGACTCGATGTCACTTTACGACAACACAACAGCCCTCTCAAGTCCTTCCTTTGCCTGGTGATTCTCTTTTTACACTAAGATGGCCTGGGACTAGAGTCCATGAGGTTCCTGGGCAGCCCCTGCCCTTTTCTGACCTGAGGAGCTCTGAGCTCTGGCAATGAAGGCATAGAAGTGACAAGGACAGATAGCATCCAGTTCTCAGTGTTCCCTGGCAAGGCCAGCTGGCCTGTTGCCATCAGAACCTAAGGGGCTGGGGCTGTTTGGTCTCTTCTGCTGCTGTGGAACACAGGGATGAATTGCCATTCACAGTGTGGGGTCGGGAGATAGGTTGTGATCTTCCAGCTAACTGGCAGCTGCCCTCAACCTGGACTCTTGCAGACTATGCCAAGGAGCACCTGGCTCAACTGCAGGAGAAGGCGGAGCAGACTGCAGGCCGTATGCTTCGTTTCTCTGTCTTCTACCGCAACCATCACAAAGACTACTTCCAGCACGCCAGGTATGGCCTGGCACAGCCACCCTACTCCTCACCCCCCACCCCACCCCACCCCCACAGCAGGGCCTACCTGACCTCTCCCTCCTTCCTGCTCCTGCCCCAGTTCACTCTGAGGAGTGCCCATGCCCTCATGTCACCAGACAGGCTCTGGAGTGATGGCCACTTTGGGATTGGGTTCCAGGAAAGGTGGCGGGCTAGCAGGGTTACCAAGATCTTGGGTTTGACTTTGTCTGGGGCAGTTCCTTTCACTGGTTTCTACCACCAGAGACCTCAGTCAGGTCAGCTGTCACTCACATTCCGAGTCCAGAGGGAAGTGTGTGAGGGGAGCCCACAATGAGAGGATCCTGAGCATGAAGGATCCTAGGGGACATAGGTTGTTGTTGTTAAGTGCTGTCGAGTTGGTTCTGACTCATAGCGACCCTGTATAGGGTTTCTATGCTGAATAGCCTGGAGGTTCCAGGGAGGACTTTCAGCAAAAATCTTTTGAGTGGTGGTCAGGGGTTGGAGAGAAGATCAGAGGATGGGGGGGTTTTGTGGACCCCACCCATATAATCCAACTAGAGCAGCTTCCATTTTATTTGTCTCTTGCCTGTCTATGTATTTTCCTTTGGGGGGCAAAAAGAAAGGGTTCTATAATCCAAAAATGTTCAAAAGCTGATGCTAAATTGAAACCCCTAGCATACAGATAAGGAGACTGAGGCCCAGAGGAAAAGCAGATTGGCTTGTCAAGCCAGCAAATCTTTAGGGCATCCCAGACCAGGCCAGAGTAAGGCTATCTCTGGATTTTCCACCCCTATCCATGCCTGACGAAACCACCAAAAATGTTCATGTCTTTCATCATCACATTCAAAACAAGCAGAGGTTTTGAACTTACTCCAGGGCAGTGAGTGTATGAATTGGGGAAAGTGGGTACCGTGCAGGAAGGAGACTTAGTGTTTGTACTGAAGAAGAGAGGTAGCAAGGTCAAGAATGAAGGCACTCATGAACACAGAGGAAGAGAAAGAACAGACAGCTCACTAGGTGGTGATGGTGGTTGTGTGCTGTGGAGTTGGTTCCGACTCATAGTGACTCTGCAGAGTTTCTGAGGCTGTACATCTTTATGGCAGAAGAAAACCTCATCTTTCTCTTGAGGAATGGCTGACAGTTTCAAACTGCTGACCTTGAGGTTAGCTGCTTGAACTTGTAACCACTGCGATAGGACATAAAGTCTCAGATACACTCTCGAGACCTTCAGAGTCTAGTCAGAGAGGCAGCAAGCTTTAAGGTATTCTTGTTCTTATGTGCTGTGGAGTCAGTTCCAACAGGGTTTCCAAGGCTATAAATCTTTACGGGAGCAGAAAGCCTCATCTTTCTCCCGTGGAACAGCTGGTAGTTTTCGAATTGCTGACCTTGAGGCTCACAGCCCGATTCGTAACCACTACGCTACCAGAGCTCCTTAAATACGTTTAATAGTTGAGTAACAGTCACCGTATCCCACAGGTGAAGGCAGTTAAGTATTCATTGAATTTAAGTGTCAGATGTTCCAGGGAGGTTTTAGAGAGAAGGGGACACCTGTGCTGGGCCCTGAAGGATGATTAGGAGTTTGTCAGGTCAGGTGGAGAAAGGTGGGAAGGGCAATCCAGGCAGAGGGAAGATCACTATAGAGGCATAGAGACAGCAAAGAGCAGGACATAGAGTTGAAGCGTAGACATGTGTGAGAGAGAGTGAGAGGAGGAAGTGGCAAGAGGCCAGATAGACCAAATCAGAGGATCTTGATTTTCATGCACATCAAATGATTTAAAGCTGAGGAATGACAGGTTCAGCTCTTTCCTCTGTGAAGGAGTGGGCTGGATGAGCTGATCTCTGAGGGCCCTCCCTGTGCTAGCATCCTGGAATTCTATATTTGTGACTGGTGGAGGCGATGGGCATGCTGGGAGAGCCAGGAGCAGGGCTCCCTCCCTTCTCCACTGCACACTGCAGCGCCCCACCCCCACCCCCACCCCCAACCTCACTCAGTTTCGCTGACCAGGAGCATTTTCTCTTCCCTGTGGCATTTCTCCCCACTGGCAGGACCCACTGTGGGAACATGCTGCAGCCCTACCTGAAGGACAACAGTGGCAGCCACGGTTCGCCCACCAGTGGCATGCTCCACGGTGTCTTCTTCAGCTGCAACACGGAATTCAACACAGGCCAGCCTCCCCAGGACTCCCCCTATGGCCGCTGGCGCTTCCAGATCCCCGCCCAACGCCTTTTCAACCCCAGCACCAACCTCTACTTTGCAGACTTCTACTGTATGTACACGGCCTACCACTATGCCATCCTGGTGCTGGCACCCAAGGGCTCCCTGGGGGACCGCTTCTGCCGTGACCGCCTGCCCCTCCTGGACATTGCCTGCAACAAGTTTCTGACCTGCAGCGTGGAGGACGGGGAGCTGGTCTTCCGCCATGCCCAGGACCTCATCTTGGAGATCATCTACACTGAGCCCGTCGACCTGTCATTGGGCACCCTGGGAGAGATCAGCGGGCACCAGCTCATGAGCTTGTCTACTGCCGATGCCAAGAAAGACCCCAGCTGCAAGACCTGCAACATTAGTGTGGGCCGCTAGGGGATCCTGGGGAGCTGGGGGGCTAAAGAGAGAAGACAGGAAGGGTGGAGGTGGGCTGGCTTAGGTTGGGGCATTGGCCTTCTCTCCCCCTGCCCCCTGCTTCCTGCACTCCACCAGTCTAATCCCTTCCCCCACCCTTGGCATTGGAGGCAGTAGAGGGTGGCCCTCTCGTTAAAGGAGGCCCATCCCGTGACTGACTGACTTGGGAAGGTTTCTTAGCCTCAGTAGATCAGCGGATGGGTTCGATTTCTGGAGACGTCCCCTTTCTTCTTGTTTCCCTGTCCTGCTCTACCTTGCCTCATCCCTGTCCTCCATCTCAGAGACCTGCCCACTTCTGAGATCTCCCTAGGATGTCTCTCTGGGTGGAAGCCCAGGTGTAGCTTGCGGGCCTCCAGAGGAGATGCAGAGAGATGTGGGGCGTGCTCTTCCTTTGCTCCACTCACCCGACTCAGGGCCAACCACAGAATGCCCCTCCCTCTGATCTGGGGTCTCAGGTACCTCCCAATCCAGCCTGGGCCCCTTCCCTCTATAAATAGTCTTTGTGTCCTGCTGTGCCCCGCTGGCTGCACCTTGCCCAATAGAACCTTTTTTCTGCATGGGGAGAGCTGTCCCTCCCCTTTCCTACCTACCTGCTCTGGATGTCCCCCTGCTCTCTAGAAAGAACCTTTTTTTTTTTCTTTTTTTGCTTTGGGCGAGCTGGGATATTTCCTTTCTTCTATCTGGAAATGGTATTTTTCCAGTATTTCTTCTCTCTTGCTCAGAGCACTGGGATCTGGAATGACAGCCATTGGGGTCGAGGAGGGGGTAGGAGACCCCTGAGACTCAAAGTTATGGGGAGTGGACTGCCTCGTGCCCTGCAGAGCCCTGGCACCCGCCTGGCTGTGCCGCTTTGCTCACTGGCGCTCTGCCAAGGTGCCGTAACTGTATTGTGTGTGTGTGTGTGTGTGTGTGTGTGTGAACCTGTACTGTGCATTCTCTGCTGCTCCAGCTCCCACCCACACCCACTGGCACTGTTAGCTCACCTGGTGAGCCTATTGGCTGAGTGGCCCTCCCCTGGGAGTTCCTGGTAAAATCTTTCCTTGGTTTCACAGTATTCTCATGATTTCCTACTTTTGCAAGAGTGAGGAAGGTGGTGAGGATAGACACCCCGAGGCTAGCAAACCAGGTGGAGTGACTAGGGAGGTACTGAGGAGGCAGCTAACTGTTTGGGGAATGGTGGAGGTGGATGATGGAGGTCACGCAGAGGAGACAGCAGCCCCCAAGGTGACTAGCTCAAAGGTGACAGACACAATGGACAAGCAGTTGGACTTCTGTGATGGAGGACAGACAGGCCAGCAGGCCAACAAGGACATAACCTCAGGGAGAGGACAAGACAGCTGCTAGCATCTCCTATAGTCAGTGAGGGGTGGTCAGCTGCCCCCTTTGATGGGCCAGAAGGCCTGGGGGCTCTGGGAGATGCATGGAGAAGGAGAGGACATGGGCCCCAGGCCCTTCCCCACTCTGCTTACAGCATTGCTGTGGGGGTGGCCTGCTGCCCTCCCCAGCCCTGTGTCTGCCCCTGTGTTGGAGGCACACCTGCCTGTGCTGTGCTTTTGATGTGCATCAATAAACCACCATGGCCTGAGGGCCCTGCCTCTCTTTGGGTCCTGGGGAGGGGAGGTATGTGAGTTGTGAAATCCACAGAGGAGCTCAAACTGGATGCCTTCAGGACAGGCTACCTGGAATCTTCTTCAACCTGTCTCAAATCTCACTGGGGGAGGGAGGGCTAGAATGCAGAGCCAGTATCTCTAACTTCAAAGAGATTTTGGAGGTCACTAGGTCCCTTTCCATATGGGAAAACTAAAGACTTTCAGGTGGATGTCATAGGGGAGGCCCAACCACGTTTTGTTTTTCAGAGCCCCTCATTGAATTTCCCTGTCCTCAGAACCTAAACGTCCCCTCTCCCCCCCCCCCCCCCCAGCAGCAGGGCGCCCCTTCTGCAGCTCTGAGTCACCTCTACACCATTGTTGTGGGTTTATTCAAACAGTCCTCTGCCAGAGTGGAGAAGCTCCAGAAAGCTCAAAGGGGCCCTCATTGACTCTGGGCGCCTGACCCAGTGTCATCTAGACCTTGGGAGCAACTTCTCTGGGCTAAGAAGGAAAAGCTGAAGGACAAACTACCATTTCTTGACAAACTACCACATCTAATGTGTGCTGGACATTGTGTCAGGTGCTTTTACCCGCATGATCTCATTCAATCTCCACAATGGCCCTCAGTAGTAGTATTACTATTTCACAGGTGAAGAAACAATCACAAGGAGGTTAAGCTTCTTGCCCTGTGTCTTACAGTCAGTAGGCAACAATGCCGAGCAATCACTCCATTTCATTATCCTTCCCCAAAGAATGCTGGGGACCACCTGGTAAGACCTTCATGGCTGTTTGACAGCTTCACCGTTCTGTGGCACTGCCCCCAAGGGGTCTGTTTCCACATTACTCTGGAACTGAGACCATGCCTAGTTCCAGAGTAACACTAGGGGGGGCTATGGAGTCATGAATGCCAGGGAAGTTTATTTTTATAGGCATAGTGGGCAGTGCACTTGGAGCACAAAATCCCAAAGATGGGGAAACAACCTCCAGGATCCATGGCACTGCTTCTCCATTAGATCTCCCTGCAGTTAAGAAGTTTTCAGTCTTCCAGAAGAGGAAGCTTCTGCCTTCCTGTTTTGAATCCTTCCTTCTAAGTTTGTTAGGAGATCCCCAGTATCCTCTTAATGAAGCATGAAGGCAGCAAGTGGAGATATGAGGCTCCATGCAGGTTTCCTCCTGAGAGCTTGCTTCTCCTTTCTCTTTCCAAGTGTCCACCCTTTGGCACACTACCAGTCCTGGCTGCAAGATGGGACGGAGTCACAGTACCTAATGGACTCTGCCCTGGAGTCCCTATGGTCTGCATCCTTCTAATCTGACCCAACGGAAAGAGAGGTCTACGTGTGCACACACACCCCCTCTCTGGGCTAGATTTAGAGGACAGTCTAGGAGGCCACATAGAACTATAAGGGGAGAGACAATTCTGGACTGTAACTGCCATTGCCTAACTGCGGAGTATCAGGGTTAGCCCTGTCTTCACCAGGGACCATTCCCTGAAATGGAGGGAGACCTTCAGAAAGCTGAGCTGAGGTGACTGGCCATAAAACAGCTTGGCCACAGCATCTGGAGGAGATTGAAACCAGATGCTCTCAGAGTGGGGGAAGGGTGGGTATCAGATAGGCGCAGGAGAAGCAGCAGCTCTGACTGAGAGAAGGCTGGGTTGGGGGCCTCATGGTTCTCTAGGGAAAACATCTGGCTGCCCTCTTTCCAGCTCTCCAAAGCAGGCACTACTATTTTTGCAAACTGGAGCAGCAAATCTTTTTCACGAATTCTAGAATCAGCCTTGTGTGTAGGGACAGTCAAGTACAGGGTGTGACTTGGGAGGTGTCCAGAAAGACTACCAGCTAGCCAGAAATATGTCCCCTATTGCCCCTTGCTGTGGGTTAAGCATTGCCCTCTTCTGGCAGGAGTAGTTCTGCCCTAAGCTCCTAACATCTAGTTGGTGTACCCAGAAGTTTCCTTTTAAGCTAGGAATAGATTTGTACAGGAAGTAGTGAATTGTCTGGTAAAGGAAAGAATACCACATTTATTGAGAGCCTCCTATTTGCCAGGCACTGTGACAGGCTCTCTTTAAGGGTAATCTCATTCTTTCCTCACAGCTACGTTGTTGTTGTTGAGTCAACATGGCAGCCCTGTATAGGGTTTCCGAGGTTTTAAATCTTTGTGGGAGCAGAAAGCTTCATCTTTCCCCCCCACAGAGCAGCTGGTAGGCTCTAACTGCCGACCTTGTGGATCAAAGTCCCGTGCTTATCTAATAGTCACCATGCTCCCCTCACAACTGTTTTGTTGTTAAGTGCCATCAAGTCAGTTCTGTGACTCCTGTTTGTTAAGCACTATCGAGTCGGTTCCCACTCAGGGTTCCCAAGGATCAGCTGGTGGGTTTGAACTGCTGATCTTGTGGTTCAAAGTCCAGTGCTGATCCTACAGCACCAAACCAGGAATCCTAGTTCTGACTCACAGCGACCTTATATAGAGTTTCCAAGGGGCAGCTAGTGGGTTTGAACTGCTGACCTTGTGGTTCAAAGTCCAGTGCTGATCCTACAGCACCACACCAGAAGTCCTAGTTCTGACTCATAGAGACCCTTTGAACAACCAACCCTGTGGTTAGCAGTCCAGTGCTGATCCTACAAGGCCACACCAGGAAGGTGTGTAATTATCATGTCGTACTTATAGATGAAGAAAATGAGTCTCAAAGAGGTTAAATGACTCACCTATGGCCACACAGTCACTAAATGGTAGAGTGAATGTTCTAAACCAGCCTTGCATGCTTTCACACTTGTGACCATTTTTTTTTCCAAATTAGATTTTTTTGGTAAGTTTTTATTGTGAATTGAGTGATAATTTACATGGGAGAACATCGGTTTTACACTCATTATTTCATTGCAATGATTACAATCCCTTCTGTGCATCATCATTCTATTGTATTTGCTTCTATTCCCTCTGTTTCTTCTTTAGGGTGGGGATGTACACAAACACACTCAGGAATATATAATAATTTAGATAACCAAAGGGCACATTCTGCAAGTTTGCCTCCTGGCCACAGCACACAGTCTTTTCTCTTCCCACGAGTCTAGAGTCCTCAGCTGCTCTATCTCTCCATGCCATGATCATCTCTGCCTCCATCTCTCGTGTCCCTGCTTCTCTGTATAGGGTCCCACATTCTGCTCATGCTCTTCTCCCATGATGGTCCTAGGGGCCTCTGTTCCTGTACTGTAAGATTAACTACTCCCCCCTTTATGTTACAAAACTTCTACCTTTACAGTTGTGACGGTCGCAATTAATCATGATAACAATTACTATTGCATTATAAGAATCTTATCCCCATCTCCTTTCACCAGACCCATCCAGACAAGATGAAAACTATTCAATGGGGATTCT